TTGCAACTCAGGGCTGAGTCTTTCCTCCGGTGCTTCCAGCCTGAGAAATGCAGAATGTATTCTTCCTTTTTGGTTTTCTAGCCCCAGGCCTTTGCCACATTTCATTATAACACTTTCCTTTGTCTTCTATTTGGTTCTTTTTGTGTTTTTTTTCCCCTTTTGCTTTGGCTACTCTACATCCAGTGGCAAGTTTCTTAGTCTTCCCGACATCCATTTTGGCCCCTCCTTCCTTCCTCCCTGCCTCCCTCCCTCTCTCCCTTCTTATCTTTTTAGTGCTTTCTTCATGCATGCAATCCTTGATGTCGTCCCACCATTTGTCTGGTCTGTGGACATTAGGGTTCATTCAGTATGTCTGATTGGTCCTTGACATGGTTTCTAATTTAAGGAGGGATATACTCAAGGCTGCACTTTGGTCCTTAAGATCTTGTTCTAATTGTCTTTCCCTTCCATTTGAACTTGCGCCTGGGCCATTGATGGTCTATTCCACAGTGAGTCCCCTGCCTTGTTCTGATGGAAGATACAGAGCTTCTCTGTGGTCTCTTTCCATAGCAGGAGTTGGCTCGATTCCTAGTCCTCCATGTGTTGAGTCTCCGTCTGTGTTTGCCATTTATGTAGGCGACAAAGGGGATTTCAAATGGATTAAATTGTTGGTCTTGCCAAATTCTTTAACACTACCTCCCCTGAAGTTCTAAGACAGTGGTTCTCAACCTTCCTAATGCTGTGACCCTTTAATACAGTTCCTCATGTGGTGGTGACCCCAACCATAAAATTATTTTTGTTGCTACTTCATAACTGTCATGTTGCTACTGTGATGAATTGTCATGTAAATATCTAATATACAGGATGTCTTTTCATTGTTACAAATTGAACGTAATTAAAACAGTGATTAATCACAAAATAATACGTAACTATATATTGTGAAATATTTATTTCTAATGACAAATAAATGTAATTTTGTCTTGAAGCATGGTGCAGCATGGGTAACAGTCTTCAACAGTAAACTACATTGCTGCATTTTGTGACAGTTTGCCTAAAAAGCGGAAGTCCGTGTGAAGGTTGAGATAGCTTCTTTCTCATCAGATCAGCTTATCTGCCTGTGGGTGGACCCGTGGTGTTGGTTCCCAAGACCATCAGAAATATGTTTGCCGATGGGCTTAGGGGACCCCAGTGAAAGGGTTGTTCGGCCCCCAAAGGGGTCACGACCCACAGGTTGAGAACCGCTGTTCTAAGCGAGCTCAAGCTCTCTCCAGGTGAGAAAGGAGGAAGTAAAACTGCCTTTCCACACATGCCATGCTTGCCCAGCCAGCTTTGCACAGCCCACAGGGCCTCCTCCAAGGCTGGCGAGCGTGTTCTGCAACGCTGCAGGACCCAAGGTCAGTGGACACAAATGGTTTGTATTGCTCCACACTAGAAACGAATCCTGCGAGACCCAGACGTAGATATTCCGTTTACTAATAGCCTCCAAATGTCGAGCAACCTGTACACAATGGCCCAGAGAGGTTTTCTGGGCTTGAGTCAGAAGAGGCCAGCCGGTTGCCATGTCTCTCCAGATTGGCCTGTAGCTGGAATGCAGCCCCAGCCCTGAGAGGCACACCCCAGGACGGCGGGGGCTGGCTCAGTTCCCCATCCCAGGGCCCATCTCTTTGGGGGAGGGTTGGGTGTAGTTGCCTGCACAGTCTCTGCGGAGCTGCGTGAGCTCCAGAAGGGCATCCTGATGCCCTCTCGGGGCACGAGGGACTGCTGAGGGGTTGAGGGACAGCCAGGTGCCAGAGCCGAGCCCCGGGCTCCCTTTGAAGTTTGACAACCATTACCTCCAGATAGTAGGTTCAGGGATGACTCTGAGCTCCTCGGTGTCTTTCTGGTTTTTGACACATGTACGGAGTACACTTATTTCCGGTGTAACCAGAGTGCTAACAGTTTCTAGTTGATTTCTAAGGGACTTTGTTTGTGGCCCTTGGGTACCATTTGGAAATTTTACAAGGAGACCGTACGTCTCTTAAGATACCCCCCAAAGGAGCCAGCTGAAACAGCGCCATGGGAAGGCCTAACTGCCGGGTCACAGGCACCGTGTGAGACGGGCAGGTGGCTGTGGCCCATCTCACTCGCCGCAGGAGTCCTAACCGGGACACTTCCCGTGAAGTCATCGCGCTGTCCTAGAAGGCTTGACGGATGACTTAACTCCTTCCTGCCACCGAGAGACAGAGCAGGCTCTCTAATTACGTAATTTAGAAATGACTCACACCCCTGGCTGCTGCCACGTTGGGCATTAATCTCTGCAAGCTGACAGCAACAGTCAGTTCAATTAGGGAGAGCGATTAGCCAGGCCTCTCCTCTCCCTCGCCCCAGGTGACTTTGACTGCCAGCTGGGTGCTGGTGGTGGTGCTGCTGGGGGGTGAGGGGGCGCTGCCGTGATCAACACCACCTCACTGACACCCCCCGCCAGAGAGCCAGCCAGCGTTTCTGTGGAAGGGAGTTCTCGGGCTGCTGACGTTAGGGGGTGGTAAAAGTTAGCGTGTTTTGGGTGAAAATTGACACAGCAAATTGGGTTTCCTTTGAGCAATTCCTGTGCCTAGTGCTCGGTGACACGGGCTACATTTTTCACAATGTGTCAGCAGTCCCATTACTTTCTGCTGGTTCCCGCTCCCTGGCTCGGGCGGATTCCAGACGGAGGGCTTCCGGGATGGCCCATCTTGTTTGTTTCTGACCAGGATGCATCCGTTTCTAGTCATTTTCTTCTGCCCCTCCTTTCCCTCCCTCCCCCATCTCCTTCTTGCCTCTCCAACCTCCTTCCTGGCCTCCTCCTGTTCTCTGTCTGCCCTCCTAAGGATTTAGCACTTTCACTTTAAGTTGTGGGAGAGAGATGGAGCTGTCTCCCCCACTCACCAGTGACCGTCTCGGAACCCCCCAGGGGCAGTTCCACTCAGTCCTGTAGGGTCGCCGAGCGTCGGCGCAGTGGGTTTGCTTTTTCAGTCTGATTTTAAAGGAGCCCTGGTGGTTTTGTGGTTATGCATTGGGCCGCGAACCAAAAGGTCCGCAGTTGGAAACTACCGGCTGCTCTGCGTGAGCGAGACGGGCTTTCTGCTCCGGTAAAGAGCCTCGGAAACCCACAGGGCGCTTCTACCCTGTCCTATGTGAGTCGGACTCCACTGGGTGGCAGTGAGTATTTTAAAGTATGAAAGAAAGCCTGCAGACACACGCTATGTCACCCATGCACCCGCAACCCAGACGGATCAGCTGAGGACCATTCCGCAGACCCCAGCCTCAAACCTTCCACCGTGGAGTCACGGGGATGCTAGAGGGCAGGGTAGAAGTGCCCCCCAGAGGTTTCTGAGGTGGTGACTCTCCGTGGGAGTAGAAAACCCCCTCTTCCGAAATCCTGAGGTGCAGCTGGTGGTTTCGAACTGTTGACCTTGAGGTTAGCGGTGCAATGCGTAACCCACAGTACCACCAGGGCCTCCTGCGGACTGTTTCCAGTGCTCACCATGGGCGGGCCCCTCTTCCTTGGGACCATCCTTCTCGGTGCTTCTCTGCGTTTCCCCCCTCCTTACTGCCCCTGCCCCCTCACCCCTACCCCCTCGAGCACTGAGCTCTCTGGTGCAGGTCTCCTCTGGACTCTGCCCACACCTCGTCCCTCAGGGGCCCCTCCACCTCCACCTTCCGCGTGCCTCTGGGATGGCGATGCCCTTTCTCCGAGCCCGTCGTCCCCGTCCAGTTGCCTGGTCTCAACTTTCCAGATGGGGTCTGGGCACCCTAATAGCTGGTCCTCCTCCCATCAGACATGCTCCCCTTCTCCACCCCTGCACACTGTCGTTCTATCTTCTGGGAGGTCAGGCCTGAAACTTGAGGGCTGCCCCGGACTTGACCCTGGCCTTCAAACCCCACCACGAATCCACCTGAAGGCCTGTTGGCACCACCTTCCAAGGGACCGGTCTCTGGCTGCTCTCAGACCCGCTTTATGGGTGAGGAGGCTGGGGCTCAGAGGACTGAAGCCACCTGGCCAGTCATAGCCAATCCTACTGCAGCACAGGGACAGGGCACCTGGCTCTGGTGGACTCCTGCTCCCTGTGGTCAATCCCAGAGCTGCTCGAGGGCAGCCATGGCCTGTGGCATGCGCGACCCAGCACCTGACTTCACACCCTGGCCTTTCCCTGCTGGGGCTGGACCTTCGACTGGAAGACTGTTCCATCCCATTTCTGGCCTGGTGGGCATGGGAACGTATTCCATAGGCCACTGGGTGCCCAGGGCTTCCTCCCTCGGGCCTCATTCCCACGGGGGGCAGGACCTTCCCTTGCCCCAGGAAGATGTTTGTTCTCTGCCCCGTGAAACTGGACAGCAGACCTTGGGCCAACCCGTGTCCACCCAGGCCTGGCAATGCCTTCTCAGAGCACCGTGTCTGGGACTGAGGAGGACTAGGCTGACTGAATCGAGCATGCCCCCTGGGGGTGAGCAGGCTGGCCACAGAGGTCAGTCCACCAGAGCTGGAAAAGCCCCCACCTCCCTCTCAAGCTGTGCAGACTCAAGCCTACCATTTGCCACCCAGGGCTTCACCTCAGTCACTGACCCGGAACTCAAACTGCCGTATTGTCCTCCTGGGGGTTCCACCTCCTTCTCTGGACCACCTCCAGACTGGGAGGTAACTTGGAAGTTAGTGGTCTGAGCCCCCGGCAGGCAGGCAGGCAGGTGGGCGGCAGGACTCAGGAGGGTCTCAGGAGAGGCTT